GGCATCGCTGGCAGCTAGGGTCCTTCGATCCGCCGTATTGGTCGAGTTTGCGGGTTGAACCATTTTCGTCAGCGTATTGGTTTAAAAGGATTGGGATGACTTAGATTGTCGCTTCCTCACAGACGTCGCCAAATGTTTATGCAAGGATATGCACAACCACGTATTTCAGATTGCAGCTCGAACTTGGCTTCCAGACCGATCTGAACACTTGGGCGGACCTGCACAAAAAGGTGAGCACTCCGATGATCAAGTCAGTATAGGTCGGGTTCCCAGTTTAGTTCGAGGTCCGAGATCATCGTACCTGATCGTGGAGTGAAGTCCTCTACTTATGGGTGGTAGTCCCGCTAATCTCGCAATGGTTACGCTCGGTAATCTCGGGATCGACGATTATGCCCGATAATCACGCCGCCGTCAGTAATTCGCATCGGCCCCCACCGAACTTCCCGGTAGGTCGGACCTCGGCCAGGTTCACCTCGACCCTCATACTTAGCATCTATCAATGCTAGTAGTGGTGATTTCGGCCGTCCGAGCTGGGCATGACTCATGAGTCATCTTGGAGCACCAATAGGGGTCCTCCATGTGTCCAGGTTATTTTCATCCCCAAACAGGTTGAGTGACTTCCGAACGGATCTGTTAGGAAGCATGTGAGTAAGGACAAAACATGCTGAAAAGATTCGCAATTACTAATTGTTATATTGTTAGATGAGTGACCACCATATTTCAACTAACTATTTATGCTATTTTTAATGTATTAGAAACTTGATTGCACTTGTTTAACATTACTGGGTGCTAGATCTATAAATTTTATAAAGAGTATTAGATGCTTACAGATAAGATCAACGCCCAGAGCGCTACCTAAACACTTGATTAATTCTTTATTTAAGCAATGAAAGTTGTGGTTAAGAAAACCTGGATGATTATAAAAAATATCATGTTTTTTTGGCTAGTAGTAGTTTCGACTGTGATGGTAGAGCTTCAAGTATTGGGAGTTGAGTAAAAATGAATTAACGTCCTCCATTTTTATTTCTTTCGGATTTCGCTATAATTTTTTTTATCATTCGCTAGGTGCTTGTTCTTTTGCTTTTACTTGTGTTTACACGCACTTAGTTATAGTTTAACGTTTTTTAAACAAATAAGTATTTGTTTGGTTATCGATTTCCCAAGTTAAGGTCTAGGGTGAAACAGTGGTGCAATCCCCGTGGAGTTCACAATCTTTTATCACTTGTTGCAACTAGGGATGACAGCGGGGCGGGATGGGGCCCAGAGGGCCATCCCATCCCCATCCCCGATAAATATTTTAATATTTTTATTTTTTATTTATTTTATGGGTGTTAAAAGCAAAAGAAAAAAATAAGTAAATGGGCCTTGACATGGATTCTTTTTTTAAAAAAAAATGTAAAAGTATTTATTAAAATTAATATATTAATATTATTATATATAAAAATAAATAAACTAATAAAATATGAAACGAGGCGGGGTCAGGGACGAGGACGGGGCGGGGACACCTTCCCCCGTCCTCGTCCCCGATAAAGTTGGGTACCCGCAGAGATCGTGTCTCGCGGGTTTTTTTGCCATCCCTAGTTGCAACCTCGTTTGTGTACACTTTCACATGCTTAGTATTAGGATTGCTAGGACGACACCTGACCTTCCCTTTCTGGTGGTTGGGCACAGTTCCAATGCATTTTACCTACTTATTATGGGTTGGTGGAGCCTATTGCACACCTGTAGACGAATGTAGACGAATATGACATGACACTCTCTAGGCTTCATTCTTTACAAAAATTAACCATTGCATTTCCTTTTCTTCAAATTTGAAAAATAATTTTTAAATTTATAAAGAAAATTTGAAAAACATTCAAAATTTGTTGAAATTTTCATGTGACAAATCTTAATTGTTTTTATTTAAAGTAGATTTTAGTGTAATTGTTTGTTTATATCGAATTAGGAAATTAATTTTTTGAAACTTCATCATTCACAAACATTTAATTAGTCATTAAGCTATAATTAGGATATACAACATGACATTGTAAAATAAGTCGCCCATCTAAAATAAAGTTAAAAGCGAATTAGTTAGAGCCTCGAAACCACAAATAGTGGAACAACTTTAAGGAAAAGTGTGTAAGACAGTTTGTGACACAAACATGGTAATGTGTCAAAGTAATAATTAAGAGACCCATAAAATAATAATACAAAATAAATAATTTTGGAATTATCTCTCTTTCACATTTTTACATTTTAAAAATTTTAAGATAGTTTATTCTCAATTTCATTGTTTTTTATGTACATCTGTTTCGTACGTTTTTTAGTTTTCCAACAAAATTTCAAAAGTTAATTTATTTTTTTAATTTCTCGTAGTCGATATCGGATGGCTTATGTTGTGCATAAACATACCGGAGCATGTTACTTGACAAAATTAGGACTTAGAACCAAAAACTTAATTGTAGATATAGATCAAAACATCTTTACACACACAAAGCACCATTATGAGAAAATAAAATATTAAAAGAGAAGCATTTAACTCTGAAATAAAATATCATTTTTAGACAATGCCACAGACTGAGAATTTTGATGAATCCTTTACAAGACTGCTCAATAATTCTCCAAAAAGATATCTTTACTAAGAGGATTCATCCTCAATATAACATATAGGAAGGAATATACGACGAAAGAAAAAAAGACCCAAACCATTTCCCTTATTTACAGACTTGCTACTATTCCTAACTAGAGAAATAGAGAGACTAAAAAAGATACAAAATATATACTTTCCTAATTTGAGAGGGAGAAAATCCCAATGGTACAAAGGGGTAATTACACAAGATTCACCAACATAAAGACAACATAAATGCTTATGGATTTACTAAAAACAGTGAGTGATTTTAGGAGTTGCAGTGGCTAAAAATCCTCATGTTTGAAGGATTATTCTTTGGACTTTATGCCTCCATGACAGTGCAAACATTGAATTGATTGTACACATCATTTAGTGGATTTTCTACGTACTATATTAGCATCCTTTGACAGTATTTCAGGATTAACAGTGCACACATTCAACTGGTAATGCTTGGGAATTTCAGTTGAAGGTTGTGACAACTGTAGTACTTTGTCATTCTTCTTCAAATCGGATGTAGGGATGCTCTAAACACCAGGTTTGTTACTTTAAATGCAAAATTTGACTTTGGCCAAAGATTTGGTCAAGATATCAGCAAGCTGGTCTTCAGATGGAACATATCTAGTAATAAGTGAGCCGATGGCTGGGTGAATTATGAGGGCAAGCAATGCCGTCTCACGGGGTCTTATGGTAGCCTGGATGATCAGTCTCGATCTTCGTCTTGGACGTTGTTGAAGCATCTCAGAGGGAGTGACGATGTCTCGTGGCTTATTGGTGGGGATTTTTATGAAATTCTTCATCATCGTGAGAAAGTTGGGGGCCGTGCGAAATCCGATCACGTGTTGCTAGATTTTCACTTGGCAGTGGATGAATGTGGGATGATTGATATAGGGTTTGATGGTGACATTTTTACGTGGGTAAATCGGCGGGAGGCGGGCGAGACAATCTTTGAACGTTTAAATCGGTGTTTTTGCAACTCTGCATGGCGGGCCCTGTTTCCTCACGCTTCTGTGACCCATTTGGATTTCTTTTTGTCCGACCATCGGGCTATTGAGATTCAATTGGGTGCTTGTCTTGTCCCGGCTAAAAGGTATGTTAATAATATTCTCCATTTTGAAGAAGCGTGGCTATCTCATCCCGAGTGTCGTTCTGTGATACTTCGAGGCTGGCATTCGGTTCTCGTGGATGGAACCACTTCCTTTTTGGCACTAAAAACAAAACATTGCATGACGGCTCTTCATCAGTGAGGTAAATCAAAAGTTGGTGGTTATGGCCGTCGCATCCGGGAGGCCTCTCTACAGGTGCAGTGAACTATCAATAATCTAGTTTTAAAGGGTTATTAGGTAGTTGTACTGTCCGTTGAGGCGAGGCTGGAGCAGTTAATAATGGAGGAAGAAATTTATTGGCAATAGTGATCGCAAGAATGATGGCTTAAGTGGGAAGATAAGAAACGTGTTGGTTCCATACCTGAGCATCTTGCCGGAAACGGGTGAATATGATTGATGGCCTGGAGGATAGTTCTGGGATATGGCAACAAACATCGGCGGTCATGAGAGGTATTATTTCAGCCTATCTTATAGATCTTTTTTCTTCGTCACTCCAATCAGGTTCAGTTTTACAGAGTGCATTGACAGATGTGAAACTATGTGTGATGGACCGAATGAATCAACAATTGCTACGCCCTTTTACTGAAAGCAATATTGCGACTGCATTGAAACAGATTCACCCGAATAAGACGTCGGGCCTGGATGGTCTTTCTAGATCCTTTTATAGATATTACTTGCACATTGTAGGGCATGATGTGGTACACTAATGTCTGCAAGTTTTGAATGGTCAACATTCTCCGTGGGCCCTTAATGAGACGTTCATTACTCTGATACTGAAAGTTCAGCGCCCACGACGTATCTCAGAATTCAGACCGATTTCTCTGTGTAATGTCAGTTATAAACTAATTTCTAAGGCCTTGGTGAACCGAATGAAGTTAGATTTGAATGTGATTATCTCGCAAAATCAGAGTGCTTTTATTCCTGGGTATTGTGTGGTCGATAATGCCATCTTGGGGTATGAGTGTACTCACTTGCTCCGTTTCAAAAAAGCGGGTAAAACAAGCTGGGTTGCGCTGAAACTTGATATGAGTAAGGCATACGATTAGATTGAATGGTCCTTTGTGGAACATATTATGTTACGAATGGGATTCGCCTCGCAATGGGTGGACCTGATTGTCCGGTGTATGTATCTGTTTCCTTTTCTTTTAAGGTTAATGCCAACAAGGTGGGCCGGGTACAACCGAACCGGGGGCTTCGTCAAGGTGACCCTCTGTCTCCCTATCTTAGTTTACTTTGCGCTAAGGGTCTTTCAAGTTTATTGATAGGGGCCAAAGAGCAGCGTTTACTTTCGGGTATGAAATTATCTCGCCAGGGACCGCCTATTTCCCACCTGTTTTTTGCTGATGATAGCCTGCTTTTCTTTAAGGCCACGCCGGCCAAGGGCAGAGTGATTAAGGATATTCTGGGTCTTTACGAAAAAGCTTCCAGCCAAACAATTAATTTGGATAAGTCCGTGCTTTCCATTAGTAAGGGTACGCCGCCTGATGTACAGGTCAGACTTTGTGCTTTATTGGAGGTGCGACACGAGGAATATCATTCACGTTACCTGGTCTACCAACCTTTATGTCGTGCAATCGGCGGGGACATCTTCCCTTTTTCAAGGACCGCATGTGGAATCATCTCCAAGGTTGGAAAGGAAAGCTCTTTTCAGTGGGTGGAAAAGAGGTACTTTTTAAATCCGTGATTCAGACTATTCCTTGTTATTCGATGAACCATTGTAGATTTCTAAGGAATTTAGTTCATAAGATGCATATGGTAATGGCTCGATTTTGGTGGGGGGATGGGGATGCAGATCACAAGATCCATTGGGTGAGTTGGAAACGCATGTGTTTACGGAAGTGTATGGGTGGTTTGGGCTTCCGCGATTTGGAATTCTTTAACCAGGCCTTACTTGCTAAACAGGGGTGGCAAATTTTCTCTGATCCTTCATCTCTTCTTGCTTGGGTGTTGAAATTTAAGTATTTTAAAAATTGTGATTTTATAGAGGCATCTGTTGGCTCTCGTGCTTCTTTTATTTGGCGAAGCCTTTTGTGGGGGTGTGACCTTCTACGGATTGGTCTCCGATGGCGGGTGGGTAATGGGGCTAATATCAGAATTTATGAAGATAATTGGATTCCTCGTGACGGGATACTTTCGGTTCAATCAAGACCTTCGCTTCCTAAGGATAGTCTAGTCCGTGATCCTTGGACCCCTTCCGGTCAATGGGATGAGGATAAATTAAGATTGCACTTTTCAAAAGGGAGGCCATCTTGATCCTGTCGATGCCGCTGGGGGTTAGTTTGGTTGATAAAAAGCATTTTGAAAAAAGAGGGTTGTACACAGTAAAGAGTGGTTATCGGGTGGCTCAACAGGAGCTTATTCATCAATTCCCGTGATCTTAATCCTTGGATTCTCTGCTTACATGGTGGCGAGGTTTTTGGAAGCTTCAAATCCCGAGTAAAATTAAAATGTTTGGGTGGTGTCTGTGTCTGGATCGTTTGCCAATCGGGGACAATTTATCTGTACGGGGGATTGATACACTCTCTATTTGCAGATATTGTGGTCAAAAGGGGGAAAATGTGCTTCATATTTTTTGACGGTGTAAAAAAATGCAACAAATTTGGGCCTGCTCCAAGTTTTCTCACCTCATCCCTATTCTACGGGGTGGGGTGTCCTTTGCTATGTTGAATTTTCTTCGGGGGTGGAAGGAGCTAATTCCCTGGGCTGACTTGTAGCTTTTGTTGGTTATGTTGTGGTCGATTTGGTACGCACGGAATCGATCTATTTCGATTTCTCATGCAAGTGGCTTACTCAAGGGCATCGGAGCATGGTCGGAAAATTATCTTAGTATATATAAGCAGGCACAGGGCGTTTCTCTCTATGAGGTGGATCAACCAAGGCAGCTTCGGGCCGAAGGTTGGAACTGAAATAATCTTTCACTTAAGTGAAAAAGATCTTCTCATTAATTACAAAAAAAAGCTTAAAACCTATTTATAAATCTCAGAATTATAATAACAGAAATTTTAACTACTTGATAATTAAATAACACAACTATAAACTGCTATATTTACATCTCCCCTCAAACGAATACCCTAAGAGGGTATAAGTTTAGACTTCAAAAACAAAAGACGATCAGCAGTGAGACCCTTAGTGAGCAGATCAGCCAGTTCATGTACAGTAGAGACAAATTGCAGAAAAATGTCCTTACGAACAACATGCTCATGAACAAAATGGAAATCAATCTCAATGTGTTTCGTACGGCCATGAAAAATAGGGTTCTTAGCCAGTTGAATGACAGATAAATTGTCACAATAAAGGACAGCCGATCGAGAGCTAACAATCCCGAAGCCAACAAACCTCAGCAGTAGTAATAGCCAGTGCACGATACTCAACCTCGGTGGAGCTTCGAGACAAAGTTTACTGCTTTTTAGCAACCCACGAAACTAGATTGGAGTCAAGAAAAATAACAAACCCTGTTGTTAATCGTCTATCCGAAGGATCCCCAGCCCAATCATAATCAGAGTAGGCGGACACACATAAGGCATCAGCAGTAGAAGAACTCCGTTTATACAGCAATCCATAAGTTAAAGAACCATTCACATAGCGTAGAACATGCTTTGCAGCAACTAAATCACTGTTGGTAGGGGAATGCAAGTTTCCCAACCGAAAAGGCAATATCTGGCCATGTAAAGGTGAGGTAGTGTAATGCAGCAACCATAGCTCGATAAACAGTAGCATCCTCCACGGAACACAGATCAGTGGCAACAACAGAGTTAGACAAAACAATAGGAGTAGTACATGGTTTTGCAGCAACCATGCCAAAACGAGAAAGTACATCACGAGCATATTTAGTTTGATTCACAGATTCCAGCAGCAGAATATCCAATCTCGAGACCAAGAAAATACTTCAAAATACCAAGGTCTGTCATTTCAAACTGATGATAAAGTTGCCACACTAATTGACCAATATAAGAGGAGTTACTACCAGTCACGATGATATCATCAACATAGAGGAGTAAATATGTAACAGTATCATCCATATGTCTAACAAAAAGAGATGAATCAGCTGTAGAAGCTTCAAAACCGAGAGTAAGAAAGTGAGATGTAAAGCATTTGAACCATGCTCGAGGTGCTTGCTTCAATCCATACAAGGATTTAAGGAGACGATAAACATAGGTGGGATGAGAGGAGTCAACAAAGCCTTGAGGCTGTTGCATATACACATCCTATTGTAACTCACCATGAAGGAAGGCGTTCTTAATATATAATTGTCGAAGAGGCCAACCAAATTGGACTGCTAAGGAAAATATAGTTCGGACAGTTGGTTTCTTAACGACTGGACTAAAGGTCTGCTCATAATCAATGCCGACCTCTTGATGATATCCTTTAGCTACTAACCGGGCTTTATAGTGAGCAACACTACCATCCGAATTATGTTTTATCCTATAAACCCATTTGCAACTAATGACACACTTTCCACTTGGCAATGGAGTGAGTGTCCATGTGTTTTGTTTAACTAAGACATTATACTCTTCAGTCATTGCACCTTGCGAAACAGGAAGTTTAGATGCAGCCGTATAGGAAGTTGGTTCAATATCGGATTTAGACAAAGAAGTAGCAATGAACACCTTTTTCTTAAAGATGCCAGATTTGCTGCTAGTGGTCATAGGATGGTTGTTTGTTGGAGCTATATCAGCAGATGGCAAAGAAGCTGATGGTATGTCAGTAGCTAATGGCAAATCAGTGGTAGGTTGACCAGGAGCCAATACAGCAACATCACAAGGATCAGTGGAAGAAGAAGCAGCATCATGAGGAGCAGTTGACAAGGGAACAGAAGGAAGTGACAGAGAATTAGATGGGAACTTTTGAGAAGTATAGAACAGTGGTGAAGGGAGAACATATGGAGAAAAAGTTAAAGAAGAAATAGAAGAAGGGGAGGTGGATAACGAAAAGGGAAATAAAGTCTCATCAAAGATGACATGACAGGAAGTATAAAGACAACCAGAGCTCATGTTGTAACACAAATATCCCTTAAAATCTGGCGGATATCCTAAGAAGACACATTGTGTGGTTTTGGGTTGTAGTTTATTAGAAGTATAAGGTTTTAGAAGGGGATAGCAAGCACAACCAAGAATCTTGAGAGAGGAATAATCAGGAGATTTATGAAATAAGATCTCAAAGGGAGATTTATGAGAAAGAGATGGAGAAGGAAGCTTGTTAATAAGGAAAACAACAATGGTAAATGCAAACGGCCAAAGATTTTGAGGTAAAGAAGACTTAGAAATACGAGTGAGAGCAACCTCTACTACATGGCGATGTTTCTTTTCAGCGGTGCCATTTTGTTCAGGAGTATAGGCACATGATTTTTGATGAAGAATACCATGGGAGCTAAGGAAGGAACCTAAGAAGTGATTGACAAATTCACCACCCCATCAGTACGAAGGATTTTAATGCGAGAGGAAAACAGAGTCTCAACAAGGGGTTTGAATTGTTTAAAAACTGTAGTAACATCAGACTTTCGAGAAATAGGAAACAACCATGTATATTTAGACATGTCATCAATGAATGAAATATAGTAATTGAATCCATTTATTGAAGTTTGAGGAGTAGGGCCCCATACATCGCTATGTATTAGTTCTAAAGGAAACATGGAAACAAAATGTGAAACAGGGAAAGACAATTTGTGCATGTTTCTTTGAATACAATGGATACAAATGCATTTAGATGAATTACATGGAAGTAATTGCATACATTGTAAAACAGAACGAAGAATAGGGTCACTAGGATGACCTAACCTATCGTGCCAGACCGAAGAAGATGTGCGCGCACCAACATGAGCAACAGTCGAATCAAAGGAAGAATGGGCAAAAGGAAAAGCTAAAGTAGCTAGAGTAATGGGATAGAGCCCATTAACACTGGGTCTGCGAAAGAGAATCAGGCCCGAAAACTTGTCTTGAATAGAGAAATGGTCAGAATAAAAACTGACAACACAATTGTTATCGACACAGAGGCGATAAACAAAGATAAGATTAGTTGATATATGTGGAACATATAAAAGATGTTGAAGAGACAAGGAAGAAGTAGAAATGGTAAGAGTTCCACAACCTGAATGTGTGATAGGTAGAGTCTGCCCACTGCCCACAGTTATCTATTCATCTCTATGATACTTAGATGTAGAAGTCAAATTGCTCGAATCAATAGTGATGTGGGAATTACTGATTACGCTTGTTTACATGCGTAAAAAGAAGGTTTTATATGCTGTTTTTACTATGTTTTAACTTTATTTCGGACTTTTTCTCGGTCGTTTGAGTTCCAATTCATGCAAAATTCATATATGATGGTTTATGGTTGACTTATATTATATTTATGACATTTTAGGACCATTTGGGAGTGGAAATTAATCAAAAGAAGCAAAAAGACGGAAAAATAGCTCAGGAGGCGCCAGGCGCCTGGGAAGGCTGCAGAAAACAGTTTTTCTTCCAACTTTGCCCTTAATGAAACGCGTCTTCCAATGCGTTTTGGTGGTTCCAACCGATGCATACGTGTAGAAGAAGTGTTTCACTATCAGTTTGAGCACGATTTAGTCAGTCAAAGGAGTTGGAAATAGGTGATTCACCATCGTTTTAGGACCTACCTAACCAATTCTGCACAGCTATAAATTCCAGCAGCTTCTCCACCAAATTCATCAAGCCTTGCTTCCTTCTCTTGATCATTTTTAGTGTTTCTTTGTTACTTTCTAAGTACTTTTAAGTTAATTTCATTACTTGCTTTTGGTTTTTAAATCCCGAGCACTTTACATTCCTTTATTGAGCTTTGTTTTGTTTCCATTTGTACTTAGTTATTTTCTACTTATTCAAAT